GGGGGTGCCCAGTGGCACTTTCGTAAATATGGTGAAAAGTGAAACTTGGAGTTTTGACTCGGGATCTTTATGGGAGGTACCTTGAGTCCATAGAAGATGGTTGGCGCAGACGGCACTCAATTTGGATGTCGGGAAAGGCCTGAAAGGCCATTATGACTCCTCAAGCATGGGTGATGTTTACTCCTGTCAGATTGCTGGATTTCCTTAAGACTATACTAGGGGGGTCTGTTGAGCACATCAGTTGGGCTATGGCATGGCTTGCTTAGAGGGCTTAGCCAACATGCATGGGCACGTGTTGCACCACTCCAAGATGGTTGCACAAGTGGGGAGCATCTAAGATATTGAAGGGCAAACAAGTGGGCACCGACACGCGCGCTGGTGTGCAGCGGCGCGCGTGCGGGCGTCCAACCTAGTGTGCACGAGCGTCTAGCTCGGCGTGCGCATGGGCGTCCAGGCGGGCGTACAGCCACGGGCGCATGAGGGTTCAAACATGGCGCGCGAAGAAGGGCACTAGTGTGTGCGCCGGCATGCACTTGGGTGTGCACCCGAGCGTGCGCACGGGCATGCATGGCTTGGCACGCCATGCACTCAGAAACATATATATGTGGGTGCAGATTGGTGGACTTGGCTTGGGCTAGGTTCACAAGGTTAACTCAGATGTGGCTAGAGCATGGATAACACAAAGTCATGGCTTGCGGTTACAAGAGGTGGTGGCTTAGTGGGCTCGGTCGGTTGGGGGAAGTTACTAGCACTTCCCACTCATCATGGGAAGTGGGGGAGTGCTGAGTAACCTCCCAAACATGTGGCACAATTCTGAGAGGACCAACACACAAGCGGTTAAGGGTGGTTTCCTCCACTATGCAGAATGTAACTTCTTGTGGTTATGTGGCATGAGCAGAACATGCCAACAAGTCTAGCAGTTGGGCTTGTCAACTGCATTATAGTGCTGGCACATTTAGAGGGTGCCAGCACGACCCTAGGTGGATGGGGGTGTCATCCATCATCTTAGTGGGCAGTTATGGGCGGTTTTGAGAGTGGCCTATATAATGCTAAGGTGGGCTTTGTAGAGGGAACAGAGAGGAGGGTGTGAGCCTTGGTTGTTCCTTGTACGAACTCATGTTCCTTTATAATATGTTTAATATGAGCAAAGGTTGGGGCTTGTCCCTGTAAACTGTGTGTGCCTTCTTTACATTTCTATACTGTGTGTATTGTGTTGTTGTGTTGGCTGAGACTTGGTGGCCCCAAGTGCCATTATAGAGGCAAAAATTCGTGGTGTAATTTAGCCCTGTAACAACTATCCACCATCATACCCGCCTCTGTACCCGACTCATGCCCCTCAAATGTTCAGTGACGAGAATCCTAATGCATGTTATGTGATGTAATTCTATCCAAGTGGTGATAAGGAGGTCAATATTGTAAAAGACTACGCTACATGGGCCGAGGACTTCCTTGATGTAAATGGTCCTACCCGGGACTTTGGCTGAAGTCCCGTTAAAGAATCATTTTACACGTGTAAATAATAAAGCATATATTGAGGAAGCAATTAATTAAGTACAAGTACTATGTACATACAAAATTCGAATATATACAAGAATATTTGTAGACGAGGTCCATGAGGACATTTGAAATGCCACTTGTTTGTTTCTAACTTTGGTGATTATAAATTTAATTCAATTTTGTGGTATTTATTCAATATTACCAAATTATTATTATTATTTTTTTCACAAGATTTCCAAATCAAGATGGTGAATAATGTTGCAGCCTAGTGTAGGCACCACATGGTGTGTTTCTTTATTATGTGGTCCCTTTTAATTTTTGCCTTATTGTTTTAGTATATAAGATTTAGTTCTGGTACCGTATCATTTGAATGTGGTAGTAGTGGAGTTAGCACCATCATGTTAACCCTTGTGATTGTACTATTTCTCAAATTAATGTCACACAGGTTGTTTTTTCTCTTTTTAAGGAATTATGTATATATGTCAATAGGCTAACGTGTGTGTGACCTAAATTGCGTCATGGCATAATGGGATAGTCCAATGTAGTTTGTGGGCTTAAAATTAGGATTAATTACATTGACATTTCCTTAAATTTGATCAAATATTATACTGAAATATCTTTTTGAATAATTATTATTCATATTACACATGTTTTTTGATCACATCTCAAAAATTACTTTGCAGATGTATCAAACTACTTTTTACATAGTAAAAAAAAAATATTGTTCCCGTTTGACTTTGGTTTGACAGAGTGAAGTGTTATTTGATAATGAAAATGACATTTCTGCCCTTCATTGTTCCATATGTGATACTGCTTCACATCATGCACATTTCATATTTTTACAACTACATGCTTCATCCTAATACATAATATATTAAGCACAAGCACAAAAAGCCACATGTTTCATCATAATACATAATATATTTAATTTGGAGAACTTTTTCTAATATTATACATATATATAATAATTAAAATTTATATATAATTTATTTAATTTTAAAATATATTTAATATTCACATGCATTTTTGTTTAATGTTAATATTATTATTTAAGTAAATGAATAAATTTGAATTTAAATCTATAATTAAATTTAAAAACATGAAGTTGAATATTATAATTAAAAAAATTCTTAACATATATATTTAAATATATATATTTAAAAATAAAAATAAAATTTATTTAATGTTAACATTATCTGATGCAATTCATGTTTGAATACCACATCATCAACAGAGAACAAAAAAACTCATTTGAAAATATTCAAGTAAGAACTAACAAATCTGAGTTAAATCAAGTAAGAAATATTATTTTATATGGCATAAACAGAACAAAGTAAAACAAATTAAATTATATTTATCAAAAAAAGAGTAAACTAAATTATTGAATTAGTAATGTATTATACATCGAGCCCATGATCATGAATGATATCAATTTCATCAATTAATTAAGGAATAATGTAAATATGATTTATTGAGTATATAGATACCTGGTGTACTAGCTACTCTTTGTTTTTTTTTTTTTTTCGTTAGTAAGAAACCCATTTTATCATGAAGTGAAGGTATCAAAAGAAGAAGATGGACCATGGGTGATAAAGAATTTTTCTTGAAAATATATATCTTTGATTCGTGAATTAGCTTGCTATGAGATTATTACATTTGTAAATGTATATAAATGAAACCTTGTTTTTTTAGAGGGGAGAGAGAGAAGGGAATGGTAAAGGGAAATGGAAAAGGCGAGGCCCCATCTAGCAGCCCCCCTTGGGCAGATTGTTAAGAGAGAGAGGGGGTCAGTGCAGTTGGTAAGAGTAATAAAGAGGGCTAAATTGGTGATTTAAGTTATAAGATATTTCGGAATAAATGAAATTAAAAAATTAGGGATGAAGTTGTTTTTCTGTACGTTTTTAACTGTGTTAGTGACGAAAAAATAAAATTATACACAAGTGAAAGCTATTTTCGAAACATACTTCAGTTTGATATTTGGCCAAAAGATATTTCTGTAATATTTGGCCAAAATTAGTGGGATTGAACTCAACACACTCCTCTCTCTTATATATATATATATATATATATATATATATATATATATATATATATATTCAAATTTATATATAGAGGTAATAATATTCTTATAATTTTTTTAAAAATGATTCTTACACCTAATAGTTACAATGAATTATTAAATATATTATTTTAATTGTCTAATTATACAACAAATAAAGAAGTAGAATCCTTCATTTAGTTATTTGGTATAAATAATCAATTAAAAAATAATTCACTGCAAGTGTTCGGTGTGAGTATCATGTAAGTAGAATTTATATAACTTTTTATTGTTATTATTTCAACTTAGTACATGCATTGTTATGCCCACTATTAAATCTCTATATTGGTTGATGTATAATAATAGAAGGAACTGATTTTTTTCACAAAAATATAATATATAAGAAAATAAAAATTTGTAGCTTTCCTATTGGTTGAAAATAAAATTTGAAGCCTTCCTATCGGTTTGGGGACTGTTTAGTGGCTAACACTTTGTTTGGAACCAATTTTTTTGGGATTTAAAATTAGAATGGAAAAGGAATTACAATATAATTAAAAAAATAAAAAATTGTACCATTTGTAACCGATGGACGCGTGTATAATAATAATGCCTATATGCATAACTGGCCAATTGACCAAACCTAGAAGAAAAAAACAGAAAAAAAGGAAAAAGAAAAACCACAAAACATTCCGCCATTAATAGAGTAATTACATAAAACTAATAGATAGGAAATATCCAAAGTTGGAGTAAAATACAATTTCAAATAAAAAAGTAAAGACTGGTCCGTTGTAGTCTGTAGATAATGAGAATTGGAGAAAAGAACCATGAAAAGATGAGGGGTTGTTTTGATACATAAAATTTAAAAAAAAAAAAAAAAAAAATGTGTAAGTTTTCAAATTCCCTCAAATCCTTGAATCCTTCCGGTCCAAACATATGAAATTTCTTTCCAAATTTAATTCCAACGAAATACTCCCATTCCAAAAACAGCGTAAGAAAATCTTTTTATTAAAACCAAGTTTATTAAATAAGGAATGGTTGGATCCGTAATGTGTTGATTCATACTAATGAGACCAAGAAGAAATTTAATACTGTACACTTGTAGACACAGAGCTGCTTAGTTGAGCCGGGGAGGGAGAAAGTTGGGTTGGTCCAATCCATGCGTGTGTTGACCAAGTGGGCCCAAGCCCACATACTTTTAGTGAAGCAAAACAGAAGACAGTCAAGCAAGGGTTTTGTATCATCATCAGGTCGGCGCTAGAGAGAGAAACTGAAGCAAGCAGCACAAAATGGTGTTGGGAGGAGAGAGAAAGGTAGACCGGTAGATCGGACGCTGACCGTTGCTTCAATCTGGTGGTTATTCCCGGCGACGAACTCTAGACATCTACTAGTTGAGGAGGTATGGCTAAGAAGACGAAGAGGGTGAAGCGAGACGAGTTATATATCACCAACCCTCCCGAACGAGGTCATGGTCGAAATACTATCAAGACTACCCGTGAAGTCTATTGTACGATTTACGTTTGTATCCAAGTTTTGGCTCACCATGTTCGCAGATTCTCACTTTGTCAAGCTTCACCTCACACGCTCCAACAACTATAAACTCTCGTCCTCACACATTCGTTTAACGTTGTGTCATATCCTCCTCATCCATGTGTCCTCTTGCGGCGGAATGGTTGAAGACGGCGGGAGTACTAGGGTTGATATTTATGATCACGTTGATGGAATTGACATCTTTAATGACGATCATAATGACGATCATATTGATGATGATGATGGTTATGCTTATGCTTATGCTTATGGTCATGAACATGATGATGGTTATGGTAATGATTTTGATGATGAGCAGAAGAATGGGATGAGTATAGAGGGAACTTGTCGTGGCTTGGTGTTATGTCGTTTTACGTATTACCGCATGTTATACTTGGTGAATCCGTCAACCGGAGAAGTGTTTGAATTGCCGGACTCGCCATTTAAAAATTCTGCTAATACCACATCTTTTGGACTTGGCTATGATACATCCCTTGATGACTACAAGGTTCTTCAAGTCTCATTATGTGAAAAGAAAATCATTAGGATGAGTTTATATTCACTAAAATCAAATTCCTGGGAAATGATTTCAGATTTTCCTTTTTCATCTTTGAATGGCAAATTTCACTGGTTCCATGAAGATAGGAGTAAAATTGCTTCTCTTAGTTTAGATGAGGAAAAATTCGGAGATGTTCCATTACCTCTTGGTTTGACTGAAATTCCTAAATTGGTTGGAATTGTGAAAGGAATACTGCAGGAGACAGTCTTGGACTAAATACGAGTTTGTTGTCCCATTCTCTACCTATACCTTGATGCCTTTGGATTTCCCAAACGACGAAAATGAAAATTTATTTGCAATTGGTGATAGCCAGTTTGTTATGTGCAGTCTAAAAGAGAGAACACATAGGTATGTGGACTTTAACGATGTTCCCCAATCCTGGGACGAAGCAGTGACTTGTTTGGAGAGCCTTGTTTCACCCAAAGAGATCATAAAGAAGGTGAAAATAAACAAAACTTGATTTTTGACCATCAATTTGCTTTTTCTTTATTTTCCTATGTTTTGTCATTTAATTTTCCCACCATTGCTATTAGGAATTTAATTTAAATATGTATGTGCATGAATCGGATTCAAATGTTTATTGTTCTTCCAGAAGTGGAATCTTTTGTTTCAAATGTTTACCGGAAGGTTTGCTTTTAAGCTGCGATGTTAATGTGACCCTTTCTTTGTTAAAATGTACGTGTTTCTGTTGGTTTAGGGTATATCCTTGCATGTGTATTGAATTCTCATTCATCCTATACTCTAGTTTATTAAATTTATGTTTCAACCTTTTGAACTTTTGACACTGACGACCAAACTGTTTTTTGTTGCTTGCGTATGCATTTAGGTGAAAATTTTCATTCCGAGTTGTGAACACAAACATCATCGAGGTGGAGTGCATAATTGGAGAAACAAATTCAAACTGAGACATGAACCTAAGACATTGTAAACCAAAATTCCGAAACCATATTAACATATTTTTATTTGTAATCATGTACAATATGCTCAAGAACAAGAGGTAGAATGATAGATAGCACTTAGTAGGTTTATTAGGAAATTTGAATTCTAATCCCAAATAAAAATTTTAAAGAAAATAAACGAAAACAAATAATTACAATGCCTTCATTGTTATGGAGGAAGGAAGATAAATTTCAACATTCCTCACAAATTTTTCACAGCTGCTTCTCTTAGAAATACTCCGTAGATATTCTTTTTTGCCAGTTTGATCACTTGTTTTAGTTGAAATTCCAGCAACATGAACACCCTTTATAAGAAATCCTCTTTCTTCTCTGCATTTGATCGATGTCTCAACAAGCCCAATCATCATTTCGCCAACAGCTTCAAATTCCTTGTTTGGGTCTCCAATTTGTATGAGCATCACTTCAGTGATACAATCTCCGGCTGTATCTTCATTTAGCTTCTTCTTCCATGTCTCCTCTGTTTTTGTCTTTCCTCTGCCACCGGTTTGAACTTCCATACCCTCCAAAACCAGCGTCTTTAGATTATCCACTGCACTCAAGAAGATGGCTTCCAAGAAGCCTTCTTCAGAGCATTGTTCAATTGGCCTAGCACCAATCTTCGTGCCTGAAATATCATCATTCATTGCCATTGATTCAAGCAGCCACTGGATCAGATTCTCTCTCCCCTTAACGCCATCTGATTTAGAACCTGTTCAACAATTTGAGACTAGAATTAAAAGCATACAATATATTAGGTATACTCAAATACAATATCACCTATATTTGTCTTTTATTATAGCACCAAATTAATTTTTATCAAAATTTAGTTTAGCTAAAATTTCCATTAATTAAATTAAAATCAAAACTAGTATGATTGTTTTAGAAACGAACTCTACATTAATTACATGACTCAGTACACAGATTATACTGAACTATATATATATATATATTAGTACTGATCATTTGTTTTACCTGTGGGATGCTTGAGCCAGCCTCAACAAATAACATTGCAGGTTCTGAAACTTGCATGACCAGATTTTTTCGACAAGGCCAACCCAATGTGGCAACATTAATATAATGCAGATAACCTCCATGTGTCAGTTTCATAAGCTCACGTTTTGCACAAACTTCATTTTTTCTTCCACAATTGTTTAGACCATCCCGAAGCTTCTTTTCAGTGCTTAACCAATTATCAAGCTCAGTAAGCTCTGTCTCTAATTGCTGGGCTCTTTCCCAGTACATTTTTGCAACCACTCGCCCGTTTTTGATGCAGTCGTCACGTGATCTTGTCCGCGTTATAGGAGAGGAAAGGGAAGTGGATTTCTTTTGGGCAGTTTGTCCTTCAACGGTCATTGATCTTCTTGATATAGGGTCGTTCAGTAAATGATGATCAGACAACTCTGAACAAGAGAATTGGCGTCGACGTGTGCAATACAACGATTTTAATCCTGAGCAATGGGTTGATACTAGCAAAGGAGAAGAAGATACATGTTTACTGCTCTTGCCTTGTGTTGCCATGTCTTCTTCTTAATTCTTTTGTGAATTGTGACAGCTTTCTCAAGTGGAGAGTTATGAAGGACCTGTTATGTTGTTTGTTCCTAGTAGGAGTTTTGGTTTGAATTTTGAATTTTCAATTAGTCGTTGAAGTTGTTATCCATCCAACGGTCATGGACGGACTGGTGTTAGGGTTAAGGTGCCATTGGTCGTTGCTATTAATATGGGCTATACTCACCTTGACGCACTGAGGAAAATTATTTGTGACCTTATTATATGAAAGTTGTGAAGCACGGATATGGACACGAGATACGGGTACGGCGACATGGTAAATTTCAAAAAAAATAAGACACGAACACGGCATCACGGCAATAAAATAATAATGTACAGTAATTTTTATTATATATAAAAAAATATTTACTTTTATTTAATTTCTTATATATATTAATAAATACAACCCGTATAAATTATATATATAATATTTACTATTTATAAAATAATATATATATATATATACACGTAAAAGAAACAACACTGACATCTCACCTAACCCCTCTTTTTCTCAATCTCTCCTTCTTCGGTGACCCACGTGACCATGTCTGATCCCCGTCTATCTTCACACACAATATGATCCCCTTCTCTTATCCCCTCTATCTTCACACACAATTTGAACACAAAAGCAAACACGTCTCTCTCTAATCCTCATCTATCTTCACAATTTGAGATCCATAAACTCAACATCAAAATCAAATTTACGCCTTCATGTACCCCATTGTTCTGATCATTCTCTTAGGTCTCTCTATCTTCACAATTTTTACACACACACACACACATATATATGATACCATGTTAGGTTTGGCTCCCTTCTCAACTTCTACCTCTTTGGCTCTCTTCTTCCTCTTCCTTCACCACTTTAGGTAAAAGAGGCACAGTGAAATATCTCAGCCCTGAGATGAGAATGCAAAAGAAGAGGCACAGTGGAATCAGATCGGTGCGTGTCCGATCGGTGTCCGGCTACATTAAATATATTAAAATATGCAAGACACGATTAGAGTGTGTCGGACACGTGTCCAAGCCTAGGATACACGTGTCCGTGTCGGACACGTCGACCCTTAGAGCCGTGTCGGTGCTTCATAGTATGAAAGTCATAAAGCCTAAATGGTGCATAAGAATTGTTACATTCCTTTTAACAAGGGCATAAATGGAATTCACAACATTGAATGGCATTACTCTTTTAGTTTAGAGAGGTCGTACATCGTCAACTTTTGAACTCTAACAATGTGAGTGGGGGTGAGCCTCGTCGTGACATCATCTTAAGTTCGAAACAAACGTATTATTAGATGAGAAAAGATATTTTGAAATGAATAAATAAAGTTGTTTTTTTGAATTGTCTCCACTGCAACAATAGTGTGATGGTGGTGGTGCGAGCAAGGAGGAGGAGCCCGAGGTTGAGGTGAACAAAATGGAGTACCATGGGTACCACCCTCAGTACTCGCATTATAGTGTACCTGCACCTGCATATAATCATGGTTACATTAATGAGGGTTATGGTGATCTTGTATCCCAATTTAATCAAGGCCATGCCAATCAGGTTACGTCATGGCATATTCCTCATACCCGTCTCCATATCCGACTCATGCGGATCAAATGTTCAGTGACAAGAATTCTAATGCATGTTCTGTGATGCAACTCTATCCAAGTGGTATCCAAGTGGTGATTAGGAGGTGAATATTGTAAAAGACTACGCCAGGCCGATGACTTCCTGGATGTAAATGGTCATTTTGCACTTGTAAATAATGAAGCATATAGCGAGGAAGCAATTAATTAAGTACTACGTATATACAAAGTTTTAGTATATACAAGAATATATGTAGATGAGGTCCATGAGGACATTTGAAATGTCACTTAGGTTAAAACTATAAACAGTTCCATTTATTATTAGGTATGATTATTTCCTTAACTTGTTTGTTTCTAACTGGGTGGTTGTAAATTCAATTCAATTCAATTTTGTGGTCTTTATTAATATATGGATGCAAGATTTCCAAATTATTATTATTATTATTATTATTTTTACAAGATTTCCAAATCAAAATGGTGAATAATGTTGTAGCCTAGCTTCTTTATTATGTGGTCCTTTTTAATTTTTGTCTTATTGGTCTAGTATATAAGATTTAGTTCTGGTACCGTATCATTTGAATGTGGTGGTAGTGTGGAGTTGGCATATCATTTTTTTTTTTTTTTTTTTGGGGAATTTTAATCAACTGATATATAAATGTAAAGATAATTACAGAAGTGGGCCATTTGGCCACATACAACCCAAACAAAGGGAAACAAAGCCCAATAAACGGCCCATCAGGTGATGAGTTAGCACCATCATGTTAACACTTGTGATTGTACTATTGCTCAAATTAATGACACACAGGTGGGTTTTTTTTTAAAAGGAATTATGTATAAATTATATGTCAATAGGCTAAGTGTGTGATCTAAATTGTCGGTGGCATAATGGGATAGCCCAATGTAGTTTGTGGGCTTACAATTAGGGTTAGTTACATTAACATTCTTCAAGTTTGGTCAAATATCACACTAAAATATTTTTTTAAAATAATTATACTTATATTATAAATGTTTGTTCCGTTTTTTATTTATATTTCAAAAGTTACTTTTCAAATGTATCATACCACTTTTTAAATGTAAAAAGGCATCGTTATCCGTTTGAATTTGTTGTGACCGTGAAAATGACATTTCTGCCCTTCATTGTTCCATATGTGATACTGTTTCACATCA